ATGGGTTAAGGTAGTGTTATTTGTGTGCATTTTGGTTGGTATGAATTATGAAGTGAGTTGGCAAATGCAGCAGCTTGCATGACACCTTACTTTAGACTTGGCACCAAACCAAAGCAGTTAAAGTGTGTTTAGTTTGTTTAATTTGCTTTTCTTTTTTAATATTTTAATTGTTTTCTGATGTATTGAATGCCCCCACCCATCTTTCTCTCTTTCTCTCTCTCTCTCCCTTCCTTCGCTACCTCCCTTCCTTCCTTGCTTCTTACCCTTCCATCCTTCCCTTCCCTTCCCTTCCTTTCCTCTCTCCCTCCCTCTCCCTCTCTCCCCCTCCCTTTCCCTTTTCCCCCTCTTTCTTTCTTTCTTTCTTTCTCCCTGCCCCCTCTCTCTCTCTTTCTTTCTTTCTTTCTCTCTTTCTCCTCTCTCTTTCTCTTCTTTCTCTCTTTCTTCTTTCTCTCTTTCTCTCTTTCTCTCTTTCTCCTCTTTCTCTCTCTCTCTCTCTCTCTCTCTCTCTCTCTCTCTCTCTTCTCTCTCTCTCTCTCTCTCTTCTCTCTCTCTCTCTCTCTCTCGTCTCTCTCTCTCTCTTGCTTCTCGCTTCTCTCTCTCTCCTCTCTCTCTCTCTCTCTCTCTCCTCTCTCTCTCTCTCTCTCTTCTCTTCTCTCCTCTCTCTCTCCTCCCTCTCCTCCTCTCTCATCTCTCTCTCTCTCTCGTCTCCTCTCATCTCTCTCTCTCCTCCCTCCCCTCCCTGTCTCTCTCTCCGTCTCCCCTCCCCCTCCTGTCTCTCTATCTCTCTCTCCTCTCTCTCTCTCTCTCTCTCTCTCTCTCTCTCTCTCTTCCTCTCTCTCTCTCTCTCACTCTCTCTCTCTCTCTCTCTCTCTCTCTCTCTCTCTCTCTCTCTCTCTTCTGTTTTGTGATACTGCTTCTTTGCTTTCCCAACACTCTTGTATGTCTGCCTGTCTATCTTTTTACAAATTAAGCATTCTATTATCGCAACCCTGCAGTAATAGTAAGATTTGTTTGTTTGTGTTCATGTATGATATCCTTATAGTTATGTTTTTATTTGTTTGAGATGAATACTACTAATTTTCAGTCCCTAACACGTGCAAATGTATTCATGACTGCAGTATGGTTTAGTTTTATGCAGAGTTAAAAGATGCTAAATGGCTAAAGGTTCCTTATGTGGTGGAAAAATTTTGGATCTTCACAGGGCTTGTTCGCAATGTATTAATAACATAACTCCTCTGGCACAGAAATGTATATTTTTATTTTATATATGTTTGAAAGAGAGAGAGATTGATTGATTGATTGATTTGATTGATTAAATAGAGAGATATAAGATTTAAAAAAATATATATTTTGGTTTTGGGACAGTAACCCTTGTAAGGATTGTTGGATTGGCTCCATATTTGGTATCCAATAGTATGATGCTATAACAGGTAGTTTGATGAATAGGTTTTGATGAAGTTTTAAGATAGTCTTTAAACATGAATTTGTACCAGAGTCTGTGAATCAAACTACAGCAATTTTTGAAGTTATGATATATTTCAGACTACTACCACAGCAAAGGCCATGTTACATTTGGGATCTTGCTCTGTTAAAGAAACTCCAAATGCCAAAAAAAAAGGGGGGGGGGAGAAAAAGATCTGTAATCTATCACCCAGCACATTGCAGCAGGATTCATTGATAAGTCAAAAACAGAATTTCTTAGTACAATAATTTAGCTCAACAAATTTCACTTAAAAGTACAGTTTACTTGATAAGTTTCATATGGGATACAAATCATCAACATTATACAATTATAAAAGTTAACTTATTGGTAGATTTCAAAGAATCTGCTACCTTCACATTGTTTAAGAATGTGTGGGTGAATAAGATGGTCACAAAAGCTTATGACAAAATCCCTTCAGAATGTCTGTGGATACTTTTCTTGATAACAAAAAAAGTAATTTTCTTCTTATTTTTTATGAGATATGCTCTGCAGTAGTACACATGGTTACATTATTTTGCGGAGTCTGTTCTTTTTTTGTCTAAATATTGTGTGTTGTTTTGCTGCTGCTGCTTCTTTTTCTAATTTTTGGCATGGAAATAGATTTGTGTTTTTTTATGATTGTACCCATTGCTGCTGGGTACATTTTCTGTTGACTAGTTTTCTTTGTGATTTTTTTTTTTTTTTTTTTTTTTTTTTTTTTTTTTTTTTTTTTTTTTTTTGTTTGCCCATAGATAGATCCACTAATGCTCAGCAACCAAGAAGCTACATAGTAGGCCTACATGATCTTCCCTTATTTCCCCTGTACTTGAGTTTTCATTTTCTTCTTCTTCTTCTTCTTCTTCTTCTTCTTCTTCTTCTTCTTCTTCTTCTTCTTCTTCTTCTTCTTCTTCTTCTTCTTCTTCTTCTTCTTCTTCTTCTTCCTTCCTTCCTTCCTTCCTTNTCTCTCTCTCTCTCTGTTCTCTCTCTCTCTCTCTGTTTCTCTCTCTCTCTCTCTGTTCTCTTCTCTCTCTTCTCTCTCTCTCTCTCTCTCTCTCTCTCTCTTCTCTCTCTCTCTCTCTCTCTCTCTCTCTCTCTCTCTCTCTCTCTCTCTCTCTCTCTTTCTCTCTCTCTCTTCTCTCTCTCTTCTCTCTCTCTCTCTCTTCTCTCTCTCTCTCTCTCTCTCTCTCTCTCTCTCTCTCTTTCTCTCTCTTCTCTCTCTCTCTCTCTCTTTTCTTTCTCTTTCTCTTTTTCTCTCTCTCTTTTTTCTCTTTTCTCTCCTCTCCTTTCTCTTTTTCTCTCTTTGTTTTCTTTTTTCTTCTTTCTTTCTCTCTTTCTTTCTCCTTTTTCTCTTTCTTTCTCCTTTTCTCTTTCTTTCTCTCTTTCTCTCTCTCTCTTTCTTTCTCTCTTTCACTCTTTCTCTTTCACTCTTTCTCTTCCTCTCTCATCTCTCATCTCTGATCTCTCCTCTCTCTCCTCTCTCTCTCTCAGTTCTCTATATCTTTGTGTTTCTCTATTTATCCTCTCCCTTTTTCACTTTCAGTCTGTCCCTTCCCCACATCTATTTTTATTAATACAGATTTGCAAAAAATAATGATTAATGATAATAATACTCTTTATACACAGATATGGTTATAGAAAAAAAAAAGCAATATATAGTGAAAATGTTGACTCTTCTTACCATACTCCTTTCTTAAATTGATTTATTTGGTCTTTAACTTGGATACATTGAATATATTTGCAGTACAAAGTTGTAGGATAGTGTATTTACTTATAAATATGTTTCATTAAGTGAAGGAAAGTAACATTGAATAAATGGATTAATAAATCTCAACAGAACTTCATTGTGTTTGATATTAATATGGTATTTATTAAAACTCAAGGAAGACATGATTTTTACATTGTTATTATTATTCATAATTATTTTATAGTTACTGTTATCTCATATCTTTTTGTAGCTTAAACTTTTGAAGGTCAAGAAGGAACTAGTAAAGTAATTAGAGATTTATTAGGATCTTTATGACAGTTGTTGTTTTTCATATTATAAGCATTGTTGTTNGAGAGAGAGAAGAGAGAGAGAGAGAGAGAGAGAGAGAGAGAGAGAGAGAGAAGGGAGAGAGAGAGAGGAGAGAGAGAGAGAGAAGAGAAGAGAAGAGAGGGGGGGGGGGGGGAGGGGAGGGGGCGGAGCTGGGTAGCAGCAAAGTACGGCAGATACCATCAAAAGATAAAGGAAGGTAAAGTAAATCTAAAAAGTGTTGATAGTTTCAGTCTAAGGTAATGGTTTATATATGAAATAGAATTTGGTTCTAGAATCATTGTTTTACTACAGGTAATCATATGGTACAATTTTTAGAAACAATAATAAATATTTAAAGAATTCATTAATGCTTCATCTCCCTTAATGATACTAAAAGAAAAGCAGAAACTTTCCTTCATCAAAATGTGTTAATTGTGTATTATATTATGATAACTGGTGCAATATGATAAATTTGAGCTGCTTACAGTCACTGCAACAGATGAGAAAAATCTCTCAGGTTTCTATGCACTATACTGATTCATCATAAAAACAAAATGCAATTAGTTCCACAGAATCATTGCAACGATGTAAATGTGTTATCCAAAAAAATGGAATGATGTTATGGTAAGCAGTATTGCTTATGGCTGCCTAATCTAAATGTGCTTTATGTAGTATCTCATAAATGACAATACAGGAATATATATTATCCACAGAATGGGTCTTCTGATGTCCTTATGAATGTGTTATTTATAGCAAAGTGTGTCAACAGCATACATGTGTCCGTGTTGGAAAAAACACTTTGATATCTCTTGTGAGATCTGATTGGTGGAATGTAGCTTAAATCTTTAGATTTGCTTTTAAATATAACATACATCTGAAATGTTTGGGTTTGTGTTTTTGCTTTTAGGGGCCCTTACTTTTTTATGAATAATGGCTAAGCTCTGAATTTTTTCTTATGATTAATGCTTCAGCTCTGAAAATGTTACCACCTTTTTTGCTGCATCTTTTTTCTGTATTTTGATGATAAATACAGATTACAATACCATTCATAACAGTGTAAAGCATGTACTTCTTCCAGGACCCCTCATCATTCTGTACAAAAAAAAATGTTTTTCTCTCTGATTTTAAGAATTTAATGTGATATTTAAAGTATGGATCATGGTAGTATTCAGAGTAAGAATAAGTGATGGTAGATTGAGTGAAATTGGTGAGAGCAATGGAACATGTGATCAGAGGAAGGAGGTACAGAAAGGTTTAAAAATGAACTGAGTCAAATTGAATGACCTCTCTTCTTACCATGAGACTGAGTCCCATATGGAGGGTGACAAGTATTCATGCCACATATGGACAAGCCTGCTTCATTCTGTATTAAACAGATTTTTGGCCTGTTTGACTCTTATTTGGTCATTGAGGAGATGCAGCCATCCAAAGAGGACTTAAATTCTCATTTTACATATCTTCATTGAAAGATTATATATGCAGCCAAAACTGTAAAAAAATTGGGAATACATGTTTCCAGTGTTTCTAATTTTTCATTTCAGTAGCTGACTTTGAGTAGTGCCTGGCATGTAGCTTGGCATGGTGTGGATAAAAGTCATTGTTTTGTAAATCTGTTTCAAATAACCAATTATTATTGGTTTGATAATCAATTATATAATTACATGTATATATGTGGACATATATATTTATATATATATATGTATAATATGTTATGTATATGATATGTATATGTATATTATATATATATATATATATTATAATATTATAATTATATATATATATTTGTATATGTATATATATGTAATATATATATGTGTATATGTATATGTATATGTATATATATGTATATGTATATATATGTATATGTATATATATGTGTATGTATATGTATATACGTATATGTATATATAATATAATATATATATATATATATATATAATATATATATATAATATATGCACAT